GTCTCTGCCGGTGGACGGGGAGGGGTCCTCAGCGCTCACTGCACCCCTCCTGCACGTATGTTTAACATACATCTCTGTGGTCCCAGGTTCCTTTTTTTTCTGTGTTGCCAGGTCGTTTCCTGTGTGAATATACGTTGCTCTCCCCGCTTTGGGAAACCCTCCCTTACCCCTTCATTATTCTCCTCCAGCCACCAGACCATTTTTCTGTTTCCTTTGTTTCCATGTCCTCTCCCTTTCAAGAACCCACTTCCAATCAGTCTTGCCTCCATGTTGCCAAATCAATGGTGGTTCCTTCTCAGTTCTCCGATCTCCTTTGCTGCCCCCTCCTCTAAATGTAGGAGAGCCCTCAGGCTGGTGTTAGAGCTCCTCTAACCCCCTCCCCGCCTGGCTGACCTCCCACCCTCCATACTGCTGACATCGCCCCCCTTCTCCCAAGTGCCAGCTCCTCCTGGGTGTCTGATGGGCTTAAAGCAGGGCTGGATCCTGTCCCACTCCTCCCTGCACCCCATCTCAGCAAACGGAACCTTGGAGTCCTCGATTCCTTGTTCTCTCGTACTCGCCCCAGCCCAACCATCATGCCTGCGCCTCCCCCTCCACCACGGCTCAGGCCACCTGGCTGCTTCTGGGGCTCCCTGCTTCCCTCGGTAGCCCCCCCCCCATAGCCCTTTCCCCACAGAAGCCAGAGTGACTTCTTGACACTGTTAAGTCGATTCTCTAAACCCTTTAGGGGCTCCCACCACGCTTGCCATGACCACAAGGCCCTAGGAGATCTGGCCCCCATGGGCCCCTGTGACCTCAGCTGCCCTGCTCTGCCTTGCTCAATGCAGTCCAGCCACACGGGCCAGTGCTGTTCCTCCAAAGGGCCAAGGACGCGCCCTCCTCAGCCTTGGCGGGTGTCAGAAGTGTCAGAGCCAGTGTTCACACCCCTGAGGCCCAGACTTAACCACGACATCACTGGGCTCCTGTATGGTGCCAAGCACTGCTCCGACATGTTTAATTCCTACTAACCCTTCGAGGTGGACAGTATACCCTGTTCCTCAGATGAGGAGTGGGGCTCGCCATTGTGCGGCCGAGGTGAGAGTTGAGGGCCCTCTCCCTCCCTCCCATGCTCTCACCCTCTTGCCTCCCCACACATCTTATTTCTGAAAGGCTGGGGAGCTTACAGATCAGCCACCTCCCAGGCCCGCAGCTGGTGCTAAGGGACAACAAGTGGCCCTTCCTGGAAGCTGCTGCACAGACAACCATCGCATGTGACAGGCATTGCCTGTCTCCTGCCTGGAGCTGGAGGCTGCCCCAGGAGAAGCCCCATGTCTCTGCCTAGAGAGGGGTTTGTCAGCAGCGCTCAATAGTCCTGCAAGAGGCATTCAGGTCCTGGGGGCCTAGGCCTAGGATGGAGGCATTTATGTCAGGCCGACCAATTTCTCTCAGCCAAAAGAAACGTCTGGACTGCAATGACCTCAGATGCCCTCGGGCAGCCCAGCCCAGTCTCGAAGGGCTGCACAAGGCTGGTCAGTGGGGAGGAGGAGGAGGTGGAGGATGGGCAGGGGCAGAGGGGAGCAGGAGAGGTGGGAGGGACAAGTCAGAGAAAAAGTCTTGCTTCGGTCCCACACCCTGCTCCAAACTCTCCAAGAGCTCCTGGTCAGTCACACTTAGAATCAAAATGTCCAACTGAGCCTCGTGGTCCCACTAGGCCACACTCAGCCGGCCTGGGCAAGGGCTGTGGGGTCCATGGGGAGACTGATCTCTGCCCCACACGTGGACAAAGGCCCACAGCGAGTGGCTCACCTGCTCCACAGGAAGGAACGTGGGGCTCCAGGGCTGCCGCGGCTGTGGGGCCAAGGACATTGGCCAAGGCCAATGCAACTGGGAGCCAATCTCCCAGACACCGGGCCCAACAGCTGGCTCTCGAGCTGCCCCAGCCTGCCCCCCTGACAGAGCTGCTGGGTACAGGGCAGTGAGCACAGTGTGATGGGGGCAGGTTGGAAAGCAGGCCCTCGGGCTGTCTGATTCTGCTTCTCTCATGGAGGGCAGAGGAGGCAGCTCAGGGAAGCTTGGGGTCACTTGTCCACAGGCAGGGCAGGAGCAGTCATCCTGGTTGGACCCACATCTGGACAGAGCAGCCTAAAGCCCCCTGCGGGTCACTCACTCCTCCTAGGCTGTGCTCACAGGCTCTGTCTAGCCTAGAGAGCTTTGAGTGGACCCAACCAGCACCAGAGCTGCCCAGTGCCAGGGCCGGGTCCTGCCAGTGAGGGCTTCACTTGAACACTCCACGGCCATCATCCGACCTCCAGCTGCAACCAAGGCCGGGCAGGCTGCTCCCTGGCACCCAGCAGTGGGGGCATGAAATCCGGCCATGTGCCCACTGGCCAAGGGCAAGACCAAGCCTGCAGTGGAGCCACAGCATTCTGTACACCAAGGTGGCCTCCAGGGCCTGCGGGGATGGGCTCAGGACAACCATAGCCAAACCTCTTGTCCCTCCAGCAGTTTATGTGGCTTCCCTAGGTCCTGCAAGGAACAGGAGAGGTTACCACACAACAGACAGGGTCAAAGCCAGGGGTGTGGCCACACCAGTTGGCACCACATCTGCCACATGTCCTAGAACCACAATGGTAGAGTCTATGGTCAGCGTGGGCCTCTGTGATGGCAGGCCACAGCTCAGGGGACTGGAGGTAGGGAGAAGCAAGTCCTCCTCTGGTTCCCTCCTCCTCAGAGGAGTAGTGGACACACATCCCAGCTACACTGAGCTGAGTAATGCTATCATTTTTCACAAGTCTATGACGTGACTACTACTATTGCCCCATTTTACAGATGGTGCAACTGAGGCTCGGGGGCTTAACCATCTCGCCCAATGACCAACAGCAGGGTTCAGTCTGGGTGCAGTCCGACCTCTCCTATGTCCAGAACAGGAGTCAAATTCCAGCACGGCTGCTGACCCCACACATTCCTTGCCCATTCTGGGCCTCAGTTTCCCCAAATTATAAAATGAGAACACATAAAAGCTTCATACCTCATAGGATTATTTTGAGGATTAAATTACTTAGTATCCACACTCTGATCTTTCCCCCGACCCATCTCCAGCAGTCCTTTCCTCCTCAGATATTGGCAGTACCAAACCTGCAAGTCCTTCTTGACTCTGTCCTCACATTTACACCTAAGTCACCAGCACATCCTATCAAACAGCCAGAATCCATCCCCCTCTCACCATCCCCATTGGCACCACCTGGCTTCCTCTGGGGCTCCTGCCCTGCCCACCACAGAGCCACAGGGAACCTGTTAAGACCTAAGTCAGGCCACACCCCTCCCCTGCTCTAAATCCCTCCATGGCTCCCACGTCCTTCAAAAGAGGCATGGCCCACAAAGCCCTACTTGATCTGCCCCCAATCTATCCTCATCCCTCCCTAGATCTCCCTCCACTCCAGCCTCACGGGCCTCCTCACTCTTTCTTGAACACACCATGCACCTGCCCACCTGCCGAACATGCCCTGGCTGCTCCCTCTGCCTGAAACACCCACCTGATATCACACGGCTGCCTCCCTCACCTCCTTTCCCAACCACGGATTTTCAATTGCAGGCCCATCCCACCCCAACTCCTGCTGCCTCTCACCTGGCTCCATCCGTCCGTTCTCCCCAGCACCTCATCCCTGTTTCAGCCCAGGGGCCGCCTCCCTGCTAGACTGGCAGCCCTGAGCTGGCTCTGTTTCATTCTCTGCTTTTTGCTCTTGGTTTCCAGCGCCAAGAGACTCAGCACACAGTAGGTGCCACATAACTGTCAGCCATTATTATGACTGGTTACAGGCCTTCCTCACTCCGCGGTGGGGGGAGGGGGCTGGAGGAGAGGGCAGAGCAGGACCTGCACCACCTGGGTGTCCAGGGCATTGGGGGGAGCACCCCCCTTTTGAAAGGTCATGAGGATTCAGTAAGACGAGGAGGTCTAGCATACAGTAGGTACTCGACAAATGCCCCTGGTCCTTGAATGAGGGTATTTTCATAACAGTTACGTTCAAACTCATCAGCTGCTCTCCTGACTGAGCCCTAGTTTGGCCATAAAAGTGTCCCTCCTAGGGGTGACTCACCATTTCCTTCAGGTCAAGGGCACAGAGCAGGCCTGGCCACAGTAGGAGCTTTATTAAAGCTCTGAACATTGGCTACTGTTGGTGGTGCTTCTCCCCAGTCTGGCCTCCTCTGGCCAGCAAGGCTGTCACCCAGCCAGTCCTGGCGTCCCCGACGGGCCAGCAGCAGCAGCAGGGGGCAGGATTTCCCGCTGATCCCGGCCAGGTCCCTCCTCTCTAGTTTGAAAAGAAACCAGCCGGGGGTTAACCCTCCAGAGCCAGGCCGCCCCAGGCTGCCTCTCATCCCTCTGGTTCTTCTCCCCTTTATTCTGTGCCCAGCCGGGCAGCCAGAGGAGGTCAGGGACCGGCCTCTCCCCTGCCCGCAGGGTAGGGGAAGCGGCGTCAGATATGCGGGCCTTAGCCACCTGCCTACCCCTCTGAGCCTCAGTGTCCTCATCCGAGAAACGGGTTCCCCTAACTCATGAGTTAAAAATGAGTATTCAGTGAGCAGTCGGACATGGAGTGGGAAAACGGGGGCCATCCTCCCCCTCTCGGAGGCTGGCCCTGCGGGTAGGAAGCTGGTCATCCGAGGGTGGGCGGCCTCATTTATCTGACCTAGAGAGGTTTACTCCGGCCGGAGGTGACTTTGCAGCCTCCGGCCCCTATCGCTTCCTGAGTTGGTCTTGGGAATGGGCCGTGCGGCCCCCCCAGGGAGGCCACTATTGGGGCAGGGGGTGCAATTAAAAGCTCCCAAACCTCTCCCCAAGAGAACAAGGAGGGTGGGAGGGATCGTGGGAACTAGCTTGGGTGGGATGGCCGTCCTGGCTGGTAGGGTCGCCTGGCTCCGGGCCCGCCCCAGTCGGGAGACTGCAGCTCCTCCCCCAGCCCGCCCTGCCAGCCCGGGAACGGCGCGGCCCCTTTAAGAGCGCGGCCCCGCCCGCCCCCTCCAGGCCGGATCCGAATTCCAGGGAGGCGGGGCGGAGACGGCGGGCGCGGAGGCCGCGGCGCGGACCGGGATCCGCGGTGGCTCGGGCGGCGGCCCCGGCCCGGCTCCGGCCCCAACCGGGGCGATGCTCCCCGAGGCCGCGGGATGAGCCAGGTGAGCGTGGGGACCCCTAGCACCCCCTGCCCAGCGCGCACTGATGGGTCCTGGCGGCTGCGGCCTCTATTCCTCGGGCTGTGTGACCTTGGACGGCCCCGCTCCCTCTCTGGGCTGAAGACGGAGGACAGCAGGGGCTGGCGGAGGCCGTTCTGAGTCCCGGCCTGGGGATCTAGGGAGGCTCGGAGGAGGAGGCGGGGCCTGGGCCCCGCCAGCGGGCTGCCGGATCACGGATCAGCAACGCGGCCCGGCTCCGGCACCCACTGCTCTGCGACCTTGAGTGAGCTCTCAGCCTCTCTGCGCCTCAGTTTCCTCATCTGTAAAATGGAGATAATATCACTGCGCGCTCCGCCCTGGCCACGGTCATTACGGTTACGGTTACTATTACTGCTATGCCGTTGTTACAATGACACAGTCCTTAGGTTAGGGGGGTGCTGAGGGAGGACCCGGGACCTTCCCGGGGGAGGGAAGAGGTGGGATCCGCAGCAGCCCTGAGCAATGGAACTAACCCCTCCCTGAGGTCGGGACCTGGGTTCCTCTCCTGTCACCTGTGAGCCCACGGCTGTAGGCGTCATCTTCTAGAGCTCAGCTCTTCAACTACAGGGCATCTACACAGGGCAATGAAGATGGGGGCCTCCCTGCCTGGGAGGGAGGACTCAGCCAAGTCCCCCAATATCCCCCCAAAAGAGCCAAACAGCAAACGCTTATGGACACTAAGTCATTTATAAAAATTATCCCATTAGGTCCTATGAGGAAGTTAATATTGTACCCATTTCGCAGACGAGGAAACTGAGGTACAGAGAAGTTTCTCATAGCCAGCACTCAAACCCAGGCATTTGGCCTGAGATGACAGGTGGGTGCAGGTGGCCAACGGCTTAGTCTGTACGGCGCGCTTGCGGGGCCTTCACACCAGTCTGACCTGTGTCCCTGCCCACAGTGACTCGGCTGGCCCGGGCATGGCGGACCCAGTGGCGGGCATCGCGGGCTCTGCAGCCAAGAGTGTGCGGCCGTTCCGTTCAAGTGAGGCCTACGTGGAGGCCATGAAGGAGGACCTGGCCGAGTGGCTCAACGCCCTGTACGGCCTGGGTCTGCCCAGTGGCGGCGATGGCTTCCTGATGGGGCTAGCCACAGGCACCACCCTGTGCCGACATGCCAACGCTGTCACGGAGGCCGCCCGCGCTTTGGCAGCTGTCCGCCCGGCCCGTGGTGTGGCCTTCCAGGCGCAGAGCGTGGCGCCCGGCTCCTTCATGGCCCGCGACAACGTGGCCACCTTCATCGGCTGGTGCCGCACGGAGCTGGGTGTGCCCGAAGTGCTCATGTTTGAGACTGAGGACCTGGTGCTGCGAAAGAACGAGAAGAGTGTGGTGCTGTGCCTGCTGGAGGTGGCGCGGCGCGGGGCCCGCCTTGGCCTGCTCGCGCCTCGCCTCGTGCAGTTCGAACAGGAGATCGAGCGGGAGCTGCGCGCTGCACCCCCAGCCCCCAACGCCCCCACTGCTGAGGACCCCGCCGAAACCAGCACTGCACCGGGGGCTCCCACCCGCGGGCCTCGCATGACACCCAGCGACCTGCGCAACCTCGACGAGCTGGTGAGTTCTCCAACGGGTGCGCGCGCCTGGCGGCCCCTGCTTACACACACCCAGTGCTGTGTGCCAGGGACCAAACACAGAGCCGGTGCCCGCAACCGGTCCCTGAACCTGGGTATCTGCAGGCTAGCCTGCCCCATGGAAAGGGTTGCATATGTTGAGCACCAAGTGTATACCTGGCCCCAAGGAGATGAGCAGGCCCAGATAAGGAAGAGGCCCAGCTGGGCCTGGGATAAAATCGGGGCTTCCACTGAATTATCTCGCGCCTGCCTTTGTGTGCTAACGTGCGCCAGATAAGTGCTGTGTATGCCTTCATGGGGGGGGGGGGGCGCATGATTGGAGCCCCTCTTGTATGCCCTCCCTGCACTAGAGCGCTAGACAGTTGCATCCACAACATCACGGAGCTTGAGGCTGAGTGGGTGCCTGAGACTCTTGGCCCTGGGCAAGGTGCCTGGTACACAGTAGGAACTCAGTGAATGCCTAGGGAAGCTCTGCAGGCCCCTCCCGCTCCCCAGGGCCCTCATCACTTATCTGGGAAGCCAAGCCCAGAGATGCTGCTGCTGGGAGCTGCAGGATTAGTTCTGCTCTACGCATAGGAGGTGCCAGACCATGCCCCCAGCTCCCTCCTCCTCCCAGGACCTAGGTGTCCCTGACACTCCCGCAGCCAGGCCAAGAGTTCCCTTCTTATCAGGAGGTTAGGATTATAATGTGCCCATCCTGGAGGGAGGGAGCTGCATGGCCGTGGGCAGAGGCTGCCACCCCACCCCTGCCCCAGGCCAGGGTCACCCGAGGCTCCACCTGCACATTTCCTCTGGTTCTGCTGTGAGCGAGGAGGTGGGCAGGGCCGCCCACATAGCCAGCCTGGCAGCTTCCAGCCGGGGCCGGGGGTGGGGGCGTGTGGGTAGACGTGTGCTCGCCGGGCGGTGGCCTGTGTGTGCGTGTTGGTGTGTGCGTGTGCCCCGTGTCTGTGGCACCCCCGCCTCAGTGTGGTGTGGGCCCCAGCACTCATGTCCATGACCTGCCTCCTCCCAGGACCTGGCCTCCCTGTGGCCTTCATGTCTGTGAAGTGGGTGACAGGCTCCAGGGCTCCCCCAGGCTGAGGGGCTGCGGGATGTGCCTCGTTGGGGTCCCAGGCCCTGGCCTGACCACAGCCCCACCATCTTCTCCTGGTCAGTTTCCTGACCCCTGATAGCCAGAGAGAAAGGAGAGCTGGTAAAAGTCAAGTGTAGAGGCTGCACCCACGTCTGGGGCAACACAGTCCATGCCCCCGTTCCCCAGAAGGACCTACTTCCTCCTGATCCTGGAGCCGCTGACATCAGGCCCCAGAAGGAGGGACGTGACCCCTGACCTCCGGCCTCTCCGCTCTGGCCTCAGGTGAGGGAGATCTTAGGCTGCTGCACCTGTCCAGACCAGTTTCCCATGATCAAGGTCTCGGAGGGGAAGTACCGCGTGGGAGATTCCAGCTTGCTCATCTTTGTGCGGGTAAGAGGGAGGGGCTGCTCCTGCCCAGGGAGTGGGCTGCCACCCCAGGGGACAGGCCGTGACCTGCCCACGCCGGCTCCCACAGGTGCTGAGGAGCCACGTGATGGTGCGCGTGGGCGGCGGCTGGGACACGCTGGAGCACTACCTGGACAAGCACGACCCCTGCCGCTGCTCCTCCTCGGGTCAGTGCCCACGGTGAGGGCGGGAGGCTCATCTCTGTGGCTCCCCCCTCACACGCCCCCATCCTCTCTCCCCACAGCCCACCGCCCACCCCAGCCGAGGGCCTGCACCTTCTCCCCCCAGAGGGTGTCACCCACGCCCAGCTCCCGCGCTGGGAGCCCAGCCCCTGGGGGTGAGCGCCGAGGCTCCCGGCCCGATGTGACACCCATTAGTTTACGCAGCTCAAAGGAGGGGCTCGAGACACCGCTCAGGTGAGAGGCGGGAGGACATGGGGGTGAGGGGTCCAGAGGGTGGGGGTGAGGAGTGTCCGCCCTGGCCTGGATGACAAAGGCGCCTGTGCTCCAGAGTGACTCACACCCTGGGAAAAGTTCCCGTGGGTGGGGGCAGGCCTGGCTTCCCATCTCCATGGCAACCCAACCAAACGAACAACACAGCTGGGGCGGGCCCTGGGGGCTGGGTGGCGGCCAGTCCAACCCTGCTTCCCTCTGGCCTGTCCAGGAAACAGGAGGCCTGGGGAGGGGCCACTTAGGGCCCGCGAGGCCTTACTTCTTCCGCTGCCTTGGGGTGGGGGGGAGGCTGGCCGCAAGAAGCTGCTGCAGTCTCTTACTTCTCTTTGGAAGTTCCCAGGACAGACAGAAGCCCTTGACAGCCCCCACCAACACCCCACCAGTACCACAGGTGTCTTCCCGGCCCCTCACCAACCACAAATCTGCTGGGTCGTTCCTCCCCCTGCTCTGTCTGCACAACAGTCCTCTCTCCATGGTGCCCCATCCCTCTCTCTTGTTCCCCTGCCCTAGGGCCCGGGACCAGCTGCCCCCCCATCCCCGCTCCCGCCGCCACTCCGGGGACAGCGACTCCTCCGCCTCCTCAGCCCAGAGTGGCCCCCTTGGTGCCCGCAGTGACGACTCAGGCACTGGCCCCCGGAGGGAGCGGCCCAGCCGGCGGCTGACCACAGGCACCCCAGCCTCCCCGAGACGGCCCCCCGCCCCGCGCAGCCAGTCCCGAGACCGGCTGGATCGGGGGCGGCCCCATGGGGCCTCAGGAGGCAGGGGAGCCCAGCTGTCGGCGCCCAGCCCTGCCCGGCGGGCCCGGAGCCAGAGCCGTGAGGAGCAGGCTGTGCTGCTCGTGCGTAGGGACCGAGATGGGCAGCACTCGTGGGTGCCACGGGGCAGAGGCAGCCCCCAGACTCCCCGTGCCCGCAGCCCTGCAGCCCCCCGGCCTCCCCGGGTCTCCAGCCCCAGTCCAGAGTTGGGCAGCACGCCGGCCAGTGTCTTCCGCACACCCCTGCAGCTTGACCCGCAGCAGGAGCAGCAGCTGTTCCGGCGCCTGGAAGAGGAGTTCCTGGCCAATGCCCAAGCCCTGCAGGCTGCTACTGGCGGGACCCCCACCGGACCGGCCCCTGACCCGGCTCGGGCCCCAGACCCTCCAGCTCCTGACTCGGCCTACTGTTCCTCCAGCTCCTCCTCTTCGTCCCTCAGCGTCCTGGCTGGCAAGTGTGGCCAACCTGGGGACTCTGGCCGGATGGCCAATGGGCTGCCCGGGCCCCGAGGCCCAGCCCTGTCCAGCTCTTCTGATGAAGGCAGCCCCTGTCCTGGTGTAGGGGGCCCGCCAGATGCACCTGGGAGCCCCCTGGCTGGCCTGGAACCCCTGAGGACCTGGGCTCGGGGCCGGATGGATACACAGCCAGACCGAAAACCCTCACGCATTCCCACGCCACGGGGCCCCCGCCGCCCATCTGGACCCACAGAGTCCAGGGCCTGGCATGCCCTGCACTCAGTCAGCCCAAGGGCTGAGCCGGATTCCTGGATGTGATGGACCAGCCCAGCTGTCCCCAGGTCCCCATTCTTTCTCCTTTTCCTTTGTGGCCTTAACCCCTCAGCATCAGGGAGCCCCCCCTGCCTCTCGGGTACCAGACCTCATGGGACCAGACCCCTTGGGACCACATGGCACAATGGGACCTCTGTTGTACATTCCGGTTGGGGGATGAGCATTGCTATTTAATGACTAATATTATTGAATGCCTTAGAGGAGGCTGGGCCAGCCCAGTGAGGACCCCTCCTGAGGTCCTGTGGCCCTGCAGAGCCTGACAGTAAAGTATTGTTTCAGCCACTTGTGTCTGCTTCTTGGGGACTCAGCCTTGGGGCCATCACATCCTTCTGGGGCCCTCACTACAAGTTGGGTTCTGGAGTTAACTGACAGGGCGCAACGCCTGGCAGCTCTGACCTCCAGGTTTAAGACTATCCGGCCCAGCCCAGAAACGCCAGGTGCACGTGAATTGTTTCCTCCTTTATTACCACCTGAGAGGTGTGACTTAAGAGTTTGTCCAGTGAAACTCCAGGAGCGTCTGCGAGTTTCCAATCAGATTCATAGTCAAGTCCCTTCCATCCAATGGGATCATGGCGCAATGAGGTCCCAGAAAGGACTGATCTTGTCCAATGGGGCCTGGGGCCTGGCTGGGTCCAATGAGGCTCAAAGAGAGGCCTGTTGCCCAGGAGACTGGGTGGGAGCTTTCCTCATCCAATCAGGGGGGAGACTGTCCTCTCCAATCCGAGAGAGTTGGGCAATCTCGTCCAATCCGGGTCCCTAGTTGTCCCAGGCAAGTGAGGGCCCCTCCGCCATTGGCGGCGGCGTCCAATTCGGTCACATGAGGCTGCAGCGCGCCGGATGCAGCGCCCCCTGCAGGCGCAAGGCCGGGTGCGCAGGGCGCGCGCGCACCAGAGCGCAGCGCAGCAGCTCGCGGAAGAGACGCAGCACGTGCCAATTGTACTTGGCGGAGCACTCGAGGTAGCCGCAGCGCCAGCCTCTGCGCACCAGGGCGGCCAGCGCGCGCCGAGGCCCGAAGCGCAGCCGCTGCCGGTCCCGCTTGTTGCCTACCACGAGGATGGGCGCCTCCGGTGCGCCCGCCGGCCTGGGGGCCAGATGGGCATCAGGGCCGCGGTGCCGGGACCCCACGACCGTTGAATCCCCCCAGTGGGTACAGACACTCAGGAGCATCCCCTCCTGCGGCCAGAGACCCCTAGCAAACACCAGACCCGTGTGTCCCAAAGACCGGATACAGCTGGAGACCTTCCCATGGGCAAAGGCCTGGCCCGGCAGGCCTGAGAGCCGGCCCACGACGGTGGAAGAGCCCGCCCACTCCCCGCGGGCAAAGACCCGGACTGACCGGCAAATGCTCACCCCCTTCCCCACACACAGCTCCGGCCGCGCCCCCACCTGGTCTCCGCGATTCGCTGCCGCAGCGCCTTCACGTAGTCGAAACTGTCCGGGCTGCAGATGTCGTAGACGAGCACGAAGGCGTCCGTGTCCTGCAAGCTCCAGTCCTTAGGATCCGGCCACTCCTGGGGGCGGGAGGCCGGGGTTTGCCGGAGCCCCCTTCCCACTCTCCCGCTCCTGACCTTCTGCAGGGGCCTTGACGCTGAACTCCATCCTCAGGCCTCGGCCGTCCGCATCCCCGTCTGTGCGCCCTCTCCCCCAAGTTCCCTGGGCCCTACTGCCCTCGTGGGCGTCTGGGCAAAAATTTACAAGCGGTGCCTGAAGCCGGTCAGCCACCAGCCCTCCTTAACTCCCGGTCTCCTCTCCGCCCACCCCCTATCTTCCACCTCCTCCTCCTCCTCCTCCCAGCTTTCCACAGCTCAGCTCGGGTCAGGCCCCTCCCCTCCCTAGACGCCCTCGCTGGTTATTACTGCCTTAAGATTATTCCGAAGCACCCGGCCCGTGTTCCCCCAGCTCTCAGGGACCACTGATTGTTGGCAGCTGTACATGCTGTTCTTTCCACCAGGAAGGCTTCTGCTGCTGCTTTTAGTCAAAACTTCTCTCATCCTTCCAGGTTCAGCCCAAATGCCACTCCCTCCAGGAAGCCCTGCTGAATCCTGCCTGCTCTTTCCTCTTCACCTCTTGGAGGCATCTAGCTCCAAGGATTCAAAGTCTGTTCTGGACTTTGCACAAATGACTAAACGAGTCTTTGCTCCAGGTCACAGGAATGAAGGAGAAGAGAATGACCCCCCTAGAAAGTACACCCCTGTGTCTGGCCCTAGACTCCCACTGCGGCTCTGCCCAAGGCCCCGGGCACACAAGGCTCGCTCTCAGGAGGCGCCACCAGGCTCCGCCTCGCCCTGATCCAGACCCCACCAGCGGAGGCAGGCAAATAGAGAGGCACTTACGCCAGGGAGAAAAAGCCTCTTTGCAAAATCGCCGGGCTTCGGGCCTGGTCTTGGGAGCCTCCAGGCCGGCGAGAAGGGGTGAGACACACATAGCCCAGGACACACATTCACCCTTCAATGCATGAACACAGTCGGGCACCCCGGGGCCGTCCACGCCGACACACACGTGTGCACCGAGCACCCACACACACACACACACACACGCTGTCACACGCCCCGGCCCGCCCCTGGAGCCGCTACCTCTAGACCCCCGGGGCTCAAACCCGGGCCAGCGCCGTCGCCGTCGCCGTCGCGGATGCTCAGGTCGTAGACGGCGCCGTCGAGCAGCACCGCGGGCCGGTAGAGGCGCGGCCCGTCCGTGGGCCGGTGGCGCTCGGGGTAGTCACCGAACAGGAACTGGCGGATGATGGCCGTCTTGCCTACGCCCGGGGCGCCCAGCACGGCCACCCGCAGGCTGCCCCCCATGGCCCGCGCGCGCTGCCGCGCCCCGCGTTGGGAAGCCTCATGGGCCGGCGCCGCGCCGTGCGCCACGCGCGCCCTGCCCTGTGCGCCCCAGCCCCGCCTCACTCCTCATCGGCCCCCGGAGCACCCGGGGTCCGGAGAGGCCAGGTCAGAGGACGGAGCTGGCGGCGGGAGGGCAGACAGACAGCCGAGCAGGCGACGGCGGACGCACGAGCGGCTCCGGCGGGTGCCGAAGCTCTGGACAGAACAGACCCGCGCGCGGCGCGCAGACACCGCCTCCGCCCCGCAGCGCGATGGAGGCGCCACCGGCAGCGCGGAGCACCGAGGTCCGACCTGGCCGTGCGGGTCCCGCAGCGGAGCGGGGCGCGGGGGGCGGCGCTGCCTCTCGGCGCCTCCGTCCCTCCGTCCTTCTCTCGCCCCAGCGCCCGGAGTCGCCGCCCCAGCCGGCGGCGCGAGCGAGAGAGCGCAGCCTCGGGGAGGCAGCGATGAGGTAACCGCCCGCCCACCGCCCCCACCTCCCCCTACCCGCCCAGGACGCCCCTCCCGGGAAGGGTCGCAAGAAGGTGAGTGGGGCGCAGGGAGCCCGGGGAGGGACCCAGCCCCCTCGGCGAACCGTGCTCCTCTCACCCGCTCCAAAATAGAAGTCCCTTCCCGCCCACGTCCGCGTCCGCTCCGCCAAACACCGCTCCCCCGAGCTGGCTCCAGACAAACCCCGGCCCGCCCGCCGGAGTCAGGCCGCCCGGGGTCGGGTCCAGCCCCGGCTGTGTGACCTTGGGCGAGTCGCCGCACTGCGCTGGCGCTCTGCTCCGCATCCATCAAAGGCAGACACCGTTTCTTGAGAACCTACTACATGCCGGGCTTTTCACTAAGCTAGTACCTACGTGAGCGTGATCCTTGAATCCACAGGCTCAACCTGGTGTCTCCATTTGAGAGAGAGCACTGAGGCCGGAGAGGGGACTCTTCAAGGTTGAGGGGAAGTGGATGGCCCCTGACCCGCAGCCTTGCGGTCGCCTCTGAGGAGCCCTCCCACCTTCCTGCTGCCCACAGGGGTAGATGGCCAGCACTAAACAATATGTCAAACGGCCGTCACTGAGGGAGGGCCAGAGAGAGGGTGCTGAGCACAGCACACACGGGGGCACAGCAGCTCAGCCCCAAATCCTTGTCCCAACGAGGCTGAAAGATCTAAAAATTGGTCGACACCACTTTCATCACTGCTAAAGCTGAGTTTTCTGCCTGGGTCTCCACCTGTAGCTTCTTCAAGGCTGGAATCCCCCCTCCCTGGGGCTGGTGAGGAGCTCTTTCCCCATCAGAGCCTGGGAAGTCTGGCTATGTCTAGCCCCCCATCCTGCTTCTACTTGCTTCCTCCTTGCAGAGGGGGCTCCCACATCTCTGACCAGATGCCCAGCCACTGGGGGAAATGCCCAGACATCTCTATGTTTCTGCACTGACCAAGGGTTTCACTTATCTGTTTTTTCAACAAATATTCCCAATTTTACTGCTTGCCAGGATGCTGAGATGGATTAAAAAAAGAAAGACAGAAAAAAGTCCTGCCTTACGAGAGAAGGTTCTAGAACACATGGGATCTAGGAACTGTAAGAGCAGAGACAAAGTGCCCACCCCAGCCTGGAGGAAGTGGAAGAGGGAGGAGGAGCTAAACCTGGAGTGGAGGGGGTGCATCCTCCAGGGAGCAGGTGATGGCAGCCGGAGGGTGTTTCTCCAAACCAGTGAGTGTGTTTTCATCCTCTCACACTGGATCAGGGACCTGGCTCTGCTTTCACTCTTCGCCTCAGCCACTAGGGAGCTCAGAGCCAGACTGGTGGCTACCTCTGGCAGGTGTTCCATGTCTTCAAGCCCAGTGTGTGGGGACCCCTGACTTCATCTTCCTTTTCCGCCATGATATTTTCCTTCACCAGAGTTCCCCTCTTCAGGCTTTTGGGTTTTGTGAGCTACCTCAATTCCTTTGGGGAACAAGACAGGGAGTAAATAAACTAAGCCCCCCTTCCCTTTTGGCACTCAGCAGGGTGTGGGGCTGACGTCAGGATGGTCTTCCTTAAGGCTCTCGATGGGGCCCCCTTCCCTGGCTGGAGCACCTTCTTTCCTTGCTCCTGCCCACCCTTGGGAGTCAGTTCTGGGTGTCCTTCCTATGGAAAACCTCCTTGCTTCACTCGCTGACAGAGTGCCTCCTTGGCTTCTTCAGGAACCATAAACAGGGCTGTGTGTGTGTGTGTGTGGGTGTCTCTGAGCCCCAGTGTGGTTTCTCAGTGTGTGGTTTTGGAATGATGGAGGACACTGTGGACAGGGGATGTCCTAAAGCTCCCACGATGTCCTGCAAACTCCACAGGGCTGACACAGTCCCCAGGAGACTCTTGGATCAGCATCACTGGCAGCAGTTCCCGTTTATCAAGGACCTGTGATGTGCGGAGCCCTGAGCCGTGGTTGCGTGCTCACTGAGGTGCAGAGGGATGTCATGATTTGCCCAAAATTGTCCAGCAGGAAAATGGCAGCACGGGGACTGGAACCCAGGATCTTGGGCCACCGAGCCTGACTTTCTGAGAAGCCCAACTTCATCTGGGCCCAGCAGCCAGAGGGGCTTCAGGAGGAGGTGAGCTGGAGCCTGTGGCCCTGTGGGGAGGGACTTTGAGGAAGCCCCCCTGTCGCCCATGGGGGCTGAGCTTAGCTGTGACAGGAGTGGGCAGCTGTGGTGCCAGGCTTCCCAAAGATGAGCAAGCCAGAGAACTTGGGCTGCCTGTCTGCGTGGGATGTGAATTTCGAAGTTTCTCTCATTGGTTCCCTCCCTCCTTCCCCAAGGAGAGGCGGCCAGGCTGCTATCTGCTGCACCACGGCTCCCATGCTCCTCACATGCTCCCATCCAGTGCTCGAGGGAGCACCCACCAGCATCCGCACATCTGCTCCCTCAGCACATGGGACCTGGTGCTGGGCACACGGTCTGCCCTCTGTGGCTTGTGAGGGAGACAGACATGCAACCAGGCACAGACAGATGGAGACAGGAGCGCTGGGCTGGTTCAGGCCTGTGGGCTGAGGGGACCCGGGGGAGGCACCAGCCTGGCTGAGGGTAGGGGCTCAGGAAGGGCCTGATGACACACGTAAGCTGAACCCTGAAGAATTAAGCAACAGTAAGTGGGGTGGCCTGGTGGCGGTTGAGAGGGCCTGGACAGGGGCAGTCGTTGGGTGGAGAATTCTGTGTCCCCTAGATCATTGCCCTAGTCCCCCATAGCTGGACGTCCCCCCCACCGCCTGCCCTTTGCCACACAGCTTCTTCCCAACTGCCCGGATTTCAGCCCTTCCCTGGGATCGAGCACCCTGGATTGCATCCAACTCCCAGGGGTATTTGCTCTGGACTCCTCTGGCCTGGCCATCTGGGCCACTCTGCTGACCATTCATCATGATCTGTCTTGCCTGTTGATCACGGCTCCACACCACTTGTCCCAGCAGTAACTTACCTCCCCAAACCCTGAAAAGGGGGTAACCCCTACCTCTCAGATGCCTGGTGCCTAGTGGGTCCCGGGTCATCATCATAATGCTGCCCATTGATTGTAGCTGGTCAGCTTTCTGAAGGCCAGCGGGGTCTTACAGCCATCAGAACACAAGGAAGCAGCACAGGGTAGAGCTTCCAGGCCCCCAAAGTGAGACCTCTTGGGTTTGAAAACTCCTCTCGGGGATGTGTTATCGGTGCAAGTAACTTAAGCTCGCTGAGCCTCAGTTTCCTTCTCTGTAAAGGGGATGATAATGGTCTTGACTTCATAGAGTTGACATGGGATGAAATGAGATGATACAAAGAGAAAAACAAGAAAATTTAGTAAGGCTGGAGGGGGGACAAAATTTGTACGCATGAAACAACTTCATTTTATTTATTTAATTTTTTAACTATTTTATTGTGCACATGTATAATATGTATACATTATAAGTATTAAAATATATAATATATTATAATTATAATATATAATATGATATAAAAATAAAAATGAAAACAAAACATACCCAAACTAATGAGATGCAGCAAAAGCAGTGCTAAGAGGAAATTTTAGAGTTGTAAATGCTTGCCTTAAAGAAGAAAGATCTCAAACCTAATTTTACACCTTCAGGAAATAGAAAAAGAGCAAACTAAACCCAAATCTAGCAGAAGGAAGGAAAAAATAAAGATTAGAGCAGAAATGAACAAAATAGAGAATAGAAAAACAGTAGGAAAAAAATCAATGAACCTGAGAGTGAATTTTTTGAAAAGATCACCAAAATTGACAAACTCTTAGCTAAATTAACTAAGAAAAAAAAGAAGGCTCAAATAATTAAAATCAGAAATGAAAGAGGGGACATTACAATCAATGCCACAGAAATATAAAGGATTATAAGGAAATACTATGAACAATTATACACCAACAACTTGGATATCCCAGAAGAAATGGACAAATTCCTAGAAACTCACACCTTACCAAGACTGGATCATGAAGAGACAGAAAATATTTCAAGACCTAACTAGTTAGGAGATTGAGTCAGTAATCAAAAATCTCGCAACAAAGAAAATCCCAGGCTCATATGACTTCACTGGAAAATGCTTCTACCAAGCACTTAAAGAAGAATTAAGACCAAGCCTTCTTAAATTTTTTCAAAAAAAAAAAAAGGAAGAGAGAACAACCCCAAATTCATTTTTGAAGCCAGCATTACCCTAACACCAAAGCCAGACAAAGATACTACAAGAAAAGAAAATTATAGAACAATATCCTTGATGAGCATTGATACAAAAACCTTCAACAAAATACTAGCAACCCAAATTCAATAGCACATTAAAAGGATTATACATCATGACCAAGCAGGATTCATTCTCGGAGTTGCAAAAATGTTTCAGCATATAAAAATCAATCAACGAAAAAGACCACAAAAACAGAATGAGCGACCAAAATTGCAAGATCCTTTCAATTGATGCAGGAAAATGCATTTGACAAAATTCAATAGTCTTTCATGGTAAAAACTCTCAACAAACTAGGAAGAAAAGGAAACTACCTCAACATAGTAAAAGCCATAAATGAAAAATACAGCATATACACATTTCTTGCAATTAAGCAAGAAAAAGAAATAAAAAACATACAAATCGGAAAGGAAGAAGTAAAATTGTCTGTTCAAAGATGACATGATCTTTAATAGAGAAAATCCTAAAAATTCCACACACACACACAAAATCTGTTAGAACTAATAAACAAATTTGGCAAAGTTGAAGAATACAAAATGAACACAGAAAAATCGCATTTCTATACACTAACAATGAACAATCCAAAATGGAAATTAAGAAAAAAAGTTCATTTACCATTGTAAATAAATTCTTTATTCAAAAAGAATAATACTTAGGAATAAACTTAACCAGCAAGGTGTACGCTGGAAACTACGCAACATTGCTGAAAGAAATTAAAGAAGACACAAATAAATGAAAAGACATATTGTGTTCACGGACTAGAGGGCTTAATATTGTTAAGATGCCAATATTACTCAAAGCTATATGCAG